CTCTCTCTCTCTCTCTCTCTCTCTCTCTCTCTCTCTCTCTCTCTCTCTCTCTCTCTCTCTCTCTATCTATCTATCTATCTATCTCTATCTCTCTCATATCCATGGAAAAAAACGAGGCACGAGCAACATTCACATCCATCCGATTGCGGTCGACGATAGCGGATTCACAATGATGTGACGGCCACAGCCAACCAATGACCTCCGACGGTCGCACGTGTCTACCGTTCTCATATAGCCTTCGCTATTTCCAGCAGCGCCTGGCACATAAGCTTGCTAACTTCAGTGGAGGCAGCACAATGTTGTTTCTAGATCTCCACCTCCGCTTCGATAGCTTCGCACTGCCGAATTTGGATGGAGCATTGCCTCTTGCTCGCGCTCTCCATCGTCTCGCACTGCCTCTTGCTGGCGCTCTCCATCGTCGACGCCAGCAACGCCCCATGCTTGTCCATGCACTCCGGCAATGCCTCAAATGTCTGCTGCTGCACATTCTTCCTCTTCCCGAACCCGGTCGGGCCACCACTCGTCTGTGAGCCACCCCATGCTGAGCTGTCGTCTTCGTCGTTTCCATCACCGGCGGCTTCCCCATCACCCACAGATTCCGGAGTCGCCGACTGTGCAGATGGGAGTTGCACACCCCCTGCCCCGCCAGTGTCTGCAACATTGGTCGGGCTGATAGTGTGGCTCCTTTCCCTCGCCCCTTTGATCTCCTCGAACACGGCTCGATCCATGTTGAAGTTGAATCCTTTCTTTGCCCTCTGCTGACTCGTCAACTGGAAGAAGTCCTCCTTCCCCGACATGCTCATGAAAGCGTGAACCTTCTTGAACTGCTGCATGAGATTGTCCCATTTTTTCCCGCATTTATTTGCTGGCCTGTCGACACCGACCTTCAGCAACCTCTCCGGGACGTCCATCCATTTCCACTCCCTCGTCCGCATCCGAGCAAAGTTGTGTCCCGATGCTTGCAGCTGGGCGTCCTGATCCCGCTTCACCCTGATTAGGGCCACCATGTGTTCCACGGACCAGAAATTCCGCCCTCCTTCTCCATCACCCTCGCCTTCCGCGTCTGCAGAGGCCGTCGTCGATCTCGTCCGCCTGCGCACCGCTCTAGTCGAAGTGCTGCCCCTGATGCCCCTCCCGCCCATGTTCGGCGCACGCAACGGGAACACATCGCCACTGTCGTCGTCGTCTACGTCGCACTGAACTTCGCCAGCGTTTGTCCACGCGTCACCCCCCCCGGCGGCCACGTCTGCTTGCCCACTCCGCTCGCCCACGCATAAACGCTCCACACCTTTCGTTATGGACTCTTCTTGCTGCCGCCGCAACTCCTGCCTCGCCTCCTTCCATACCCGCCTGCCATCTCCATGCGCGCCCTCGGAAGGGAAGTCTTCGTGAGTCACAGCCTGATCTACGGGACGACGAACGCAGTCGCGCCCCCCGAACAACGGAGGACTGAGGGTCATCCACTCAGGACGTTGCCCGACAGTGCGTGGAACTGACGGGCCAGAAGTTGCCTGCGTTCGAGGCCATGCCGTCGTCTTCCCCGACGTCACCTTTGCCACCGCTCCGCCCCTCGTGTGCCTGCCGCCGAATGTGACCTGCCCCGCGTCGTCGTCGGGATGAGGGTTCACGAGCGCAGTGCGCGTGATAGAAGACGGGCTCCCGCTCCAGAGGCCAAATGTGAGATCGACAGGGGGGAGGCAATCCTCCTCCTCCGCGCCGTCGTGAAGGAGGGAAGTGAACGACTGCCCGTACTTCGTCCTGCGGCGATCATACAACTGGCTACCCGTCCACTCCTGGGTAGACCCGCTACCCAGCGGAACTGTCATCGACACGTCCACCTCCGCCTCCCCCTCGTCCGAATGGGGCAGCGGTTGCAAGTGAGGCGGCAGTCATTCGTACGGTGACGGACCTGCTGCCCTTCTGTCTACAACGGCACAGATCGGAGCCCGATCGCTCGGATAAGGGGCGGACAACGTCCTCTTGAGTCGGCCGCCTCCCGTCCATGGCAACGCTCTTCCTCGCCCCTCCTTTCCTGCGAGTACGTGAAGGCAACCTCCCCAATATGCACACGTGAACAAAGACAACAACGACAAGCAGAATCACGACGAGGAGGAGCAGCGGCAGCTTGCGGAACACGTCGGCCATGTAAGACAACCGCAGCGTAACGGCCAACCTGACGGCGACAAACAGCATACGGCAAGTGATGGCTGATGACGCCCTCCGCCGGTTTACATTGCGGACCTCTGCTCTCGGCGACGGACGTACAGCCCGACGAATTTCGAAACGGACGCCCGTTGGAGGCCTGTCCGTTTCCCGCCGGCACGCGAGAGGGGCCGGGTCACCTCGGGCCCTCCACGGACCCCGTCCGCCACTCCTCGTTACTGTTGCCGCTGTCCCCACCGAAGTCGAACGTTGCCGGGCGGTAATGTCCGCCCGCACCTCGGCTGGACCACCGTTGTACCACACTACAAAACTGTGCCGTCGTCGAAGGCTGCCGCCGCCGTCCCAATTTTCGCGGAAACTCCCACTTCGAGGGACCTCGCGAGGTACCTTGGGGAGCACAGCCAAATGGCTGTGGCCCGAGGACGCCCCGAGGACACCCCGAGGAAATGTTTTCACATCGGTTTCCAAGGAACTCTCCCCGAGGAAAGATGGAACGATCATTTCCTCGGGATTTTTGAGCGCCCGAGGAGTGTCTAACGAGCCCCTTACAGCAACTGATTCTTGCTGCCATACCCCCATGCTCCGCAAAACTGACATTCCAGAACACATTATATAGCAAACGTTCAAGATACTATGTTCTCCTGCTGCACGTTTCAGCAGCAGCAAATACGACAAGAGCCATGGCAGTGAACTACAGAAATGAAGAGCCACAAAGTTCTGAGGCTAAGTTCACAGGCAATTAAACCACCAGTACCTCCCCGTTGTTTTTTCGAAGTCGCGGCCGTTAACGCGCCACGGCTTTCGGGGGGTCGGGCAAGCCTACGCCCGGTCACTTCAAAAAAAAAAAAAGAAAAAAAAAGAAAACCAAACAAACAAACAAACAAACAAACTAAAAAACAAAATAAGACAAAACAAACAAACTTGAGAAAACCGAATCACACGCGCCCCAGAGAGAGAGAGAGAGAGAGAGAGAGAGAGAGAGAGAGAGAGAGAGAGAGAGAGAGAGTCTCGGTGGCCTGTGCGGGGTGCTCCACGCAGCCCGCCGAGACTTCGGGCGTCGTGGCTGTCTCGACATACACAAAAGACATCATGGCTGTGTATCTTTCCATGTTCTAGCAGAAGATTCACTCTCGTTTTGCACATTTCGACGGCGTGCAGCGAGGCTCTCTCTCTCTCTCTCTCTCTCTCTCTCTCTCTCTCTCTCTCTCTCTCTCTCTCTGTGTGTGTGTGTGTG